TGACAATGTAAAGCGCTTTGAGTGCCTAGAAAAGCGCTATATAAATGTAATGAATAATAATAATAATAATAATAATAATTTAAACATTTAACCTAGATAAATGAGCGCTGTTAGGTGCATATCCAATCGTTTACACGGAGAGTGGAAGCTAAAGCATGCTTTGCAGGACATGGAGGTGCCAGCGCGATCACTTGCATTTTTTTTTAAATAACAGTGGAAACTTAAAGGTACGCCATCATTTTTGCTCATAAAGGTAAGAGTATACGTCATTCGGAACTGCAAAGGGTCTACTTTTATTTGTGTGCACTCACAATACAAAACCTTGTGCTTTTGTAAAATAAAGAAAACAAACATGATGCACTTTCTGTCGTCTTGGTCTTGAGCAGGAGCGCTTCACCGACATGATAAATATATCTATAGAATGCTTTAAATTACTATTTTAAAACGAAATAATTCAAATCGAAAACAAAGATGCATTTCTCTCTAAAGGCACGTCAAATGAGGAGATGGCGAGTGAGGTTCTTAAAATTCATTTTTGCAACATTGGCTCAGAAAACATTGGTTTATTAACAAATAATTCAAATATCCCCTCACTATTTTTTACTTTTTTTGTTTGTTTTTGGGCCGCTGTGCCAAAATTGTGTTTGCATTCAGTAGCCTATACGGCAGCATTTTTGTGCCACGTTTAAAAATAACTAAATAAGATTAACGCCATAATATTTTAAGAATAAAGTCAAAATTACGATAATAAAATCATGTTATATTGCGTGAAGTTAATGTGAAAATTCCACCTATAGGCCTACTCCTCCAAAAAAATCATCCGTCATTCTTTTGACTTTTTTTTTTTAACTCTGATTGATCGATTCATGAGACATTCATTTGTATTAAATTGTTCAGATTTTTTTCAACATGCATTCAAATATTCATGTTTATTTCGTGCTGCAAATATTAAAGAGGAAAATATAATTGATTCATATGCAGCTAGAACTGAAGCGAATTATCTTTGTATTTTATCATAAAATTGACAGACGGCTGAGACTTTGTAGTACCAAAGCACAAAGCTGCGATTATTGAGTGGCTTGCGTGCTACAAATAATGAATGGACTTGAAAATTTTAAACATCATTTCCAAGCATTAGCCTAGACCGTAAATAAAACAGCTTGTGAATAGTCACGATTCACGTAACGTTATTTACTAAGTTAAGTTAAGTTAACCCATTTGGAGCCCATAACGTTTGGGGGGGCCCGTACAATTTTTTTTGCATATGGGCCCGGGGCTGACTCGCTACGCCACTGTATCTGTATCAAAACATCTCATAAATGCTTTATGCAAATTTACATTTGCAGAAATGTATTACACAAGTTTTTTTTTTTTTTTTTGTATCTTTAGTTTAATCTACTAATAAATGCTGAGCCATTGTCGTTAAATTTTATATCAAGAATGAGCGTCAAATTGTATGTGAACAAGCTTTTACATTTTTAATAACTTAATGCACAAATATATGCTGCTGACTCGAAATTCACTCTTGCATGCAAAATTCTGAAATATATTACATTTTGTTTTGTAAGTGCACAATACATTACACAAACACACAAAAAGGGCCATTTTGTATCTGTAATTTAGTGCACAAATATATTCTGAGCCATTTTCATTTGTGCTTTACATTGAAAATGTGTATAACAATCAAAACCATATGTGAATGAGCTTTTACATTCTTAATAAGTTAATGCACATATATATTCTCAGCCATATGTGAATAAGCTTTTACATTTTTAATAACTTTTGAGACTGTTATGCTGTCACACTGATGCACAAGAATATATCTGATCTGTTAAATGTGCTCAAAGTGGATGAATGAATCACCTGACAACATATCCATAAATCTAGAAACTCTTCCATAAAAATGTTGCATGCAAGATTTTAAAAGTTTTGGTTATTGATTGAAAGCCTGTTTCTCTGTTGTGGGAGAAACCACACATTTCTGCAGCATGCAAACAAACTCTTGTTTCAGAATGATTTAAACTCACTTTCAAGTTCGTCATTGCAAAAAGGTCACACATGAACAATCACGACACACTGCTGATGTAGATAAGCACTGTACTAGTTTTGTATCATATGCAACACAGACATGTCTGTGCATGTTATCGTATTAAAAACATGTTTATGACCCTTAAATGTGATCTATTAAAGTTAAAATTTTAACTAAGTTCAAATTCAGAAAGAGAGAAACGTCAGCTGTTTTTGCTCTTAAATGCATACATGCGGGAGAGAGAGAGAGAGTGTGTGTGTGTGTGTGTGTGTGTGTGTGCATAACAGAAGGTCATATTTTGATTTGAAACCCCATAACATTTTCCTGAGATGTTGATTTATGACAAACAATTTGAAAATTAGTCAGATTTAAATGATAATTACAAAATATTATCATATTTCCATAAGGGTGTTACACTTGATCACTAAATTAATGTCAGCCATTTTTAAAGACCAAGGAGAGGGAGTGGTCATGGTGAAACATCCAGTCATTTGGTATCTCTGAAAAGCCCTGAATGTGCTCTGTACAGGACATCCAGACTTAAAACTGTGACATGTAACGTCTCAGAGAAATCACTAAAACATAATGTCCTCTACAGAGGACAAACCTCCATAGCTGGTAGTCAGGAGGATATGACTATTTCATACTGGTCCTATGCATAATTTTTTCTTTTTATTTATTTTATTATTTATTTTTTATGCCTTTGTGCCGTAACCACTGTAATATTTTTATTAGACTGCCCTTTTTTTATCAGGGACATTTTTCTTTTACATGTTTGACTTTATTTTGTTTCTACCTGTATTTAAAATGTAAAAAAAAGAGTGTTGAATTGAAACTAAAATTAATTAATTTTTTTAAATTAAATTTAAAAATAATATCCAGAAAATATTTACTTTGTAAGTTGACTTTTTATGTTGTTCCTACCCACTATTACAAAAATGTAAGCTACAGAAACTAAAATTTATTTTGAGAGAAAAAAAAAGAGAGAATAAAGCAGATATTACTTCTCATAACTCAGTTTAGGTATGAAATAACTGAGAATTTCACGTATGCTAATATGTAAATTACCTTCATTTACATTAGCACAGATTTCACTGATTTTCTTGTCATTTCCTGATTTTCTTTGCCTCACTATCTTGTTCTTGCCTGTGTCTCTGTTGCCCTCTGCTGGCCATATTATGTAATTCAGGTGCTGTAATTTTGTATTGAGTGTTGCCTGTTTTTGTCTCCACAGTAAGTTAATTGCAAGATGAGTACAGAAGACCAAATTGCACCGCTGTCTCCCAAGACATCACCCTCCACACCAACCTTGACACCATTTACGCAACGAAAAGAGAGTAACTCTTCATCTGAAGACAACAGACAGGTAAGACAAACCACTTCAGATATTTACTGGGGACTTAATGATGTCTGCTAAAACATCTAGTGTGCAAATAATACATTTTTGATATAGCAGTGGATATGATGATCTTTTGAGGCAGTTGGTATTTCTCTGTATGCTATTAAATCAGCATCTACAGCAGCAGTTTTTAACTGTCTTCTTAGGAAAAAGTCCATGTTCTTTCTTCCATAGATTTTTAAAAATAACACTTCTTTCGTTGTATTTTTTTAGGACAGCTGGGAGTTGGTTGAGGACTTGCGCGGACTGACAGGAAATATTCAGAAGCCTGAGAAGCGGGAAGGTTTGCTGTTGAAAAAGAGAAAGTGGCCCATGAAAGGCTGGCATAAGGTGATTACAAGATATTGTCATTGACTTTAATGGCTTTGAATACATGCATCTTTTCACCTTTTCTCTTTGTCTGTCTATGTTTAACAGAGATATTTCCTGCTTGAAAGGGGCATCCTTACATATGCCAAGACCGGGACTGATGTGAGTGTGAAACCCTGGTCTCATCCACACACTTTCTTCAAGGCTTATGTTGGAGTAAACTTGCTTAAATCCTGTCAGAGATGTTCTTTCATCCCTTATCGTGTGATTGATTCCTCAGCTGAAGAAGGGGAGGTTACGAGGTCGCATTGATGTTGGTCTCTCTGTCATGGCCATGAAGAAGAAGTCAATGTGTATCGACCTGGACACAGAGGACAGTATCTATCACCTCAAGGTATTGGCACACGCTCACCTACACATGCTGTGCTATGAATTGTAGTTAGTTACTCTCATTTTGAGAATGCACATTCTCATTTGCTGTATTTACCGTGACATTCACAGGCGAAGACTCGGGATCTGTTTGAACAGTGGGTGACGCAACTACACCATCATCGAATGTTCCGTCAGAACGAGATCGCCATGGAGCCTCCCGAGCGACAGCTGCAATCTGACCCCACCTCCAACAGACGAGTATTTACCCTCCTTATACAGTCATCAATCACGAGTGTAGTATAAAAGTCAGCCTTTAGACCCAACATCCCTTCAAACAGGATAAGAACCTCTAAAGCTGTAAGGAAGTTACAATAATAACGAGATCCACCGATATGCTGAAGTTTTGCCTGAAACAGTTCAGCTATTAAAATATGTCATGGCTGATATTGAGTTTTAAACTGTTCTGCCTTTAGAAGCATCAATAAAGTTTTCAAACTGGAATTTAACATGGTTTCTTAAATAAAAAAATCTTGATATATAATACAAAAAAATAGCTTGTTTATGGTACTTGGCATAAAAAAAGTTTGAATTTAAAGTAATAAGCATTTGCTCACAATATCATGTCACTAGGCTAAACACTTAAATAAAATTAATAATTACTGATGTGCATATTAATGTGCAATTACTGGGTTGCATATTGTGCACTCCTAATAACAACAACAATATTAAACAACAGTAATATACTACTTTTAAGTGACAAAGACTTTAACATTGTTACAAAAATTTATATATCTTTTAATCAATTCTGTTCTTTTGAATTTTCAATTCATCAAAGAATCCTGAACAAAAAGTATCATGATTTCCACAAAAACTAAGCATCACACATGTATTTAATATTTATAATAAAAAGCAATGTTTCTTGAGCAACATATTAGAATTCAGCTTTTCCGTCACAGGAATAAATTACATTTTAAAATATATTAAAATTAGTGCTGTCAAACGATTAATCGCGATTAATCGCATCCAAAATAAAAGTTTTTGTTTGCATAATATATGTGTGTGTACACACGCATACAGTATAAATGTAAAAAATATTTACATGTCTATATTTATATTCATATAATTTATATTATAAATAAATATATTTAATATATAAAATAGCATATTTTTCTGAAATGTATACATGCATGTGTGTGTATTTATAGATACACGAATAAGCAAAAATATGATTCAATACTAAATATTATTGGATAATTTAATTCTAAACATATAGGCCCGGTTTCACATACGGGGCTTAGCTTAAACCAGGACTAGGCCCTAGTTAAATTAAGGTATTTAAGCAGCTTTTATAAAAATGCCTTAGAAGAAAACGTTACAGGTGTGTATCTTGTGACAGAACAATGGCACTGACATATTGTAAGATATGTCAGAGCAAGATATTTTCAGTTGAGACAGCTCAAAACATGCATTTTAGTCTGGAACTAGCCTTAAGACTAGTCTGTTAAACCGGAGGATAGTGTTCCCTTAAATAACTTTCTAGTTTATTAGGTACTCTTTGTTTGTTGCCTTTTAAACTATAATTAAAATACGGTAGTTTTGTTACTTGAAATTATGAGTATTGTAGATTAAGGATCCTCAACACTGTAATGGTAACATAGTTTTGACAGATAAAAGTTAAAAAGTTAAAATATGCTTAAAGTAGCACACTTTTAGAAAGAAAAAAAAAAGAAGAAGAAAAAAAGATCTTGCCTTGATGATGATCTCCCACTCATGGTGGTGCCCCACTCTGTTTTCTCTTGATCTTTGGGTTTAGAGTTGTCTGAACTCCCTTGATCTTTTATATCTTTTTTATATATATTTAACAACTTCACATGCTTTGACCTGCATTTTACTGTCAGATGCTGGTTTTGTTGCCTGTGACCTAAAATAGCAATTCAATAGTGCAGGCAAACCTCGTTTAATTGTCATAGTGACACTCAAAACACTTTGCATACATTTAGTAGGTCTGAGTAAATGGCCTGTGTAAACAAGCGCTGGCTTTCATTATTACTGAGCCTGCAAAGATCAGAGCCTTTAAAGGGTTGAAATCATTCTCTTCATGATCTCGTGGGTGCAGCATCAGAGATGTACTACAAATGTCTGTGGAGTAAAATCATAATGGAAAGGAAAGGCTGTATGATGTAATATTGAATCAACATATGCATTTTCCTCTGAGATTAGGTTAAACTTAAATGGTCTTTGCAAGCATACATGCTCTCACTTTGTCTGCTAATCTTAGGATCCACAATAATCCTGCTATTCAGAGACAAAACTGAGGTTTGTGAACTGAATAACAACAACCAGCCATTGAGAATTCTACAGCAAAATGCAAATATATATAGATAAGCATAGATAAATAAGTTATTTAATAAAAAATGATGATCAAAATGTAAACATGTTATTATTATGAATAATAATTTATTGTTATAATTATAAATAAATATAATATGTTTACATAATATATGTATATGTACTGTGTATATTTATTAAGTATATATAAATACACACACATACAGTATATATTTTGAAAATATTTACATGTATTTACATGTCTATATTTATATTCATATAATTTATATTATAAATAAATATATTTAATATAAATAACATAACATATTTTCCTGAAATATATACATGCATGTGTGTGTATTTATATATACATAATAAATATACACAGTACACATACATATATTATGTAAACAAAAACGTTTATTTTGGATGCGATTAATCGCGATTAATCGTTTGACAGCACTAATTAAAATAGAAAAAAGTTATTTTAAATTGCAACAATATTACTGTTATTACTATATTTATGATCAAATAAACGCAGTCTTAGTGAGCATAAGAGACTTCTTTCAAAAACATTGAAATATCTTAATGACCCCTAACTTTTCAAAGATAGTGTAACTCGTTATTTCCAGGTGAAACAGAAAATCACACAGATTACATATTTTGTATTTTATTCTCTTTATTACCAGCGTTTATTTCTCTCCAAGCAGCCTTCAGCCCTTTTGAAGAATAGCTGGCGCCAAAACTCACAAGACATGGAGAAGTGCTGCAAAGGTAGATGCAAAAACCTGCACTGACACATCATTCTGAAATATTATTCATGGCAAAAGTACTGTACAACTAATACATAGAGAACATTTTAGAGAAGTGGTTTTCCTGAGCATCACTAAGAAAATAAAAATGGTAACTTTTTTTTTAGATCTGTCAGAGTGTGAGTCAGGGCTGCTGGAATTAAATCTGCTGCTGAAAAATATGGAAGTTCTTCACAGAACATTCTCAGCACCTGCCATTAACTTACTGCAGGTAGGGCTGTTTGGATTAAATATGTGTTTATGTTTTGGTCTGTGTGGGTGGGTTTATTAAATCTTATAAAACATAAATTTGAGGACATCCAGATGAATCCTAAATAGCATTTTTATGTATAAAATACAAAAAATATATACAACAAAATATACACTGTTTGGTTAGATTTATGAAATATTTTTGAAAGAAATCTCATCGCTCATTATTTAGACAAAAAAAAGTAATGCATATATATATGTGTGTGTGTGTGTGTGTGTGACCCCAGACTGAAGGCTCTAAAAAGGAGAAAAGAGGACACAAAAAATGGAGATCAAAGAATTATAGCAAGGAAAATAAAAGCACACAACAGGTAAAATAGCTCTGTTTCTAATTGCACATTACACACACAGACACTGCATCACACAGTCTCTCTCATTCATTTAACTGATCTGTTGTCTTCTAGCAAAATCCTGACACTTCATCTTTCCGTCTGCACGTGTCTCACCCAAACTTGATGTATTCAGAGCCAGTTTCAGCAGACTCATGCCTGGATAGCCCAGACTCACCAACAGAAGCCTCTCGAATGCAGGAGGAGTTCTGTCGGCTCGCTGGCACTGGTCAGTATGAATGCTCACATGCATGCTGCACTGTTTCAGGAATATTTCTATTAATAACGGTTTTAAAATAAAAGAATAATGAAGTGTTATTATCATCTACTGAAATTGAGAACAACATGATGAAATGACACATTCTTTCTTCTTTCTCACTTTTCTCCTTTTCTTTCTTCTTCTAGTTCAATCCACTCTTCGGTCAGCGTACACTTCCCTTTGCACAGAAAGAGACCGAGTCGGGAGCACTTTGGATTGTATCAGTGAAAAGGTATACAGGCAACCAATTTTTGTTATTGGTCTTTAAGTGTTTATATGCTTAGTTGTTATTGGCCAGAATCAACAGAGCCAATAGGTTGGTTGCAATCACGTGATTCTGATGACGCGCGAAATGCAGCTGGAGGGCAGGAAGTGATTTTTCTCCATAGAAATCACTAGCAGAAACTCAAAATGCCAGTGTTTTGCATTGTTTATGGATGCTCAAATCGGACAAACCGAGAAACCACAAGGAGCTTTGCATTTCGCGCGTCATCAGTGACGTCATGTGCAAACAACCTATTCTGACTTCTTTGAATTTTTTCAACCAATCAGGATGTCCTCGATGGGTCACGCCCTCTCCTGCAGCAGGTGTCCAGTGAGAGTCGAGGGTCAATCCCAGAATCCCTGTCAGAGTTCTTTGATGCTAAAGAGTATCTGCTGTCTGGCAGCTCATCTGAAAATGAGGTCAGAGTGGTCAAATCGCAGATTTGCGTGAATCATCTGTCAATGATTTAAAATTGAAATGAAAGAGATTTTTCATCAAAAAGAAGGTAAAACACATGAATTTCTTACTGATCATCATATTTTGTATTTTTTGTGACCAGGTGTCCGATGATGATTCGTACATCAGTGACGTGAGTGACAGCACGTCAGTAGAGTATTGCAGGAATGAGAACGGCATCGCAAAGGAGATTTTAAGTGAGGCACTGTCCAAATTCACCTTTATGAAGCTTCACCTTTCTTTACAAAGGTGTTTTTGTGTCTTCAGGTAATGGCAATGACTGCGCAGTGACGCGGCGAGACCGTTTGCCGAGTTCACGCATGAACGAGAGTGTGAATCTGTGGAGTATTCTGCGTAGTAACATCGGTAAAGACCTGTCGAAAGTTGCCATGCCTGTTCAACTCAACGAGCCCTTGAACACCCTGCAGAGACTGTGTGAGGAAGTTGAGTACTGCCACCTGCTGGACACCGCTGCAAACACACACGACCCACATATGCGCATGGTGAGAGCAATCAAATGAGCCGTTATTTACTCATTCTCATGTCATTCTGTATGACTTTCTGTCTTCAAAATTGTTTTTTGTTTAAAGGAATAGTTGACTCAAAAATGTAAATTTACTGAACATTTACTCGCCCTCAGGTCATCCAAGATGTAGATGAGTTTGTGTCTTCATCCAAACAGATTTGGAGAAATTTAGCATTACATCACTTGCTCACCAATGGATCCTCTGCAGTGAATGGGTGCCGTCAGAATAAAAGTCCAAACAGCTGTTAAAAACATCACAGTAATCCACAAGAAATCCATACTCATCCAGTCCATCATTTAATGTCTTGTGAAGTGAAATGCTGTGTGTTTGTAATAAACAAATCCATTTTTTTTTCTAAAATCTCTTCTATCCATAATCATTGCTTTCTCTGGTGAAAAAGTGGTCTTGTCTGAATCAGGAGAGAAATATGTCCAGATCAAGCACGATTTATAAGTGCAAACAGTTCTAAACAAATATGTTGGTGGATTTTGAGAGGACAAAGGGGGGTGGACTTTTTCAATGGAGGAAACATTATAGATTATGGATGGTTACGAAGTGATGCTTTAAAGTTAATACACCTTAGTAATGGACATGCAGCTTTTCACTTCACAAGATGGTAATTGATGGACTTGATGGATTACTTGTAGATTAATGTGTTGCTTTATCAGCTGTTTGGACTCTCATTCTGACGGCACCCATCCACTGGTGAGCAAGTGATGTAATGCTAAAGTTCTCCAAATCTGTTCTAAGGAAGAAACAAACTCATCTACATCTTGGATGGCCTGAGGGCGAGAGAATTTAACAAATTTTCGTTTTTGGGTGAACTATTCCTTTAACCATATATTCTGTTCTTCTCTGTAGGTGTATATAGCAGCATTTGCTGTATCTGCATATGCGTGTTCGTTCACTAGAGCAGGAGGAAAACCGTTTAATCCTATACTGGGAGAGACATACGAGTGTCTCCGGCCAGATAAGGGCTTCCGCTTCATTGCTGAACAGGTAAGCATGCACATTTCTTTTATTTCTACCAAAACACAAAGGTATACACGCTCGCATGAACAGTTACATTGTGTACCTCAGGTCAGTCACCATCCACCTGTGTCCACTTGTCACTGCGAGTCCAAAAACTACACATTTTGGCAAGGTTAGTGAAGCACACTTGGCTAGTGTCAAGCCTTTTAGCATTTAGCATGATTTTAATGTCTATTCTCTGTATGCCCATTAGATGTCCGGTGGAAGAATAAATTTTGGGGAAAATCCATGGAAATCGTTCCCATGGGAGTTACTCACTTAGAGCTGCCAGGGTGAATTCATTTTATCCTGAATTGTTCTGATTCCCATTCACTTCCATTATTCCATCCTGCACTCTCCACCATGTCTCAGTATCTCTCTGTCTTGCTTTCTTTGATCCATTCGCTCATTCTCAGTTTTGGGGATCGTTACGAGTGGAGTAAAGTCACTTCATGCATTCATAACATTCTGAGCGGTCAGCGCTGGATCGAGCACTATGGGGAAATGTCTATTAAACACTCTACCACCATGGGAGACGTCAGTCATTGCAAAGTCACTTTCCTTAAGGTGGGGCCATCAAGACATGCAAAATAGGCTTTAATTCCATATATATGTGTGTGCATCTGTGTTTATCTTGCCCACATCTTCCTCTTGTGGAATTACTTTGACCAAATTTTCATTTTATGAATGATTACTTATGATTTGTTTACTGCATGTCTTGCATGCAGTCCAGATCTGGAGGTCTGAATGCTAATGAGGTAGAGGGTATGGTCACTGATTCAGATGGGCGTGTCATTCACTCTCTGTTTGGCAAATGGAGCGAGGCCTTGTATCTGGGCAAACCACCTTCGGTAACCTGCATCTGGAGAGCAAGTGAGTCTCAGACCAGTCCAGAAGAGTCTGTTTAGCTGTATTTGAATGGTTCAAACATCTAACTTACTGTATATTCATTGTTTTGTCTCAGATGTATTTGTGGATAATGACCTCAAGAGGGCGCTAACACAGCACCGTTTTTGTCTCTGTATGTGTGCATAATATAGATCCCATGCCTGAGGACCATGAGCAGTACTATGGATTCACCCAGTTTGCAACTGAGTTAAATGAATTGGAGGAGGGTTTAAAGCCACTCTTGCCTCTGACAGACACCCGTTTTAGACCAGACCAAAGGTATAGACATATGAATTATGCATATATGTTGTCCCAAAGTGAACTTTTCCCATTATTAAAACCAGTTTTATATGCTCTTGGCTACTTATTGGTCCTCTTTTTGTTAGATTACTTGAAGAGGGTGATATTGCCGGAGCAGAAGAACAGAAAGAAAGAATTGAAGTCCTCCAAAGAGAGAGGAGGAGAGTCCTGCAAGAAAACACCATGACACACTCGCCCCGATTTTTCAAGTAAGTGACTCTTATGAACACAAAGATGCAGCTGTTTTGGGTGCGTCACGAGTTTCTGTTCGTAATTCTGTTTCTATAATTCAATCAGACGTGCTGACGATGACTCTTGGGTGAGCAATGGCACTTACTGGGACCTCAGGAAGGACCCTGGATTCAGCAAACTAGAATTCCCTGTGCTCTGGTGACCACCAGTGGATTAGTCATTGACTTTTCCCTTTCTGCTCTGGCTGTATATAGATCCCTGCTTACTTGTTATTTGTATGCAATCCTGCTGAACACTGGCATTTAATTTACCATGCTTATGTTGATGTTTTTGTATTGGTATTTATCTTTGTTAAACAGACACATTTACAGCACGAGATAGAAAGTACCTCTGGAAAGACATTTATGCCTTTATGCCTAGTTGATGTTTAGATGCAAATGCACTGACAAATGACATTTGTACGTGTCTGGATATAATTAGTTTATTATTAATTAATTAATCAAGTCAATAAAAAAAAAAAATCCTCAAATCGAATCAGTTAAAATAAATGACACAATATTAAGACAATATTAAGATTTAGAATCTTAAAGAACAAACACTGAAGTTCACCCTAAAAGAAATAAAGAAAAAAAAAGAAATTATTTTTGTAAATTAAGCCTATATTTTGAACCATTATAGGTTTTTTGCATTATGACATTATTTTTTATTGTCATTCTCATTACTGTAACTTGAAAAAGATGATGTATTTAAATTGTAAAGTGTTTATACAACATGGTAGTATTTGTTATACTACTTTTCATTGTTTTTCTTTTTAAATAAGCACAAAACATTATATTAAAAAAGTATTACAGTAATGAGAATTTAGGTTACTTATTTGTCATGCAAATAATGTCAACTGGCAAATAAAAAAAATCTAAGTCCTAAAAATAGGCTTGATGTTCTTTTATACAAAATATAATTTCTTATTTATTTGTTTTGTTTTATGAAATAGTAATTGAGTTCTATTGAGTGACCTGGGCTGGATGTTGTAATGAGATTTACACAATGAGAGTTCGTACTATAAGCGTTTGAAAGTCACAATTCATCCATTGCTGACTCAGTCACTCCACTTTATAATCAGGGAATATAGAAATCAAAAACTATATCCATAAATATTTGTGCACATATTACAATCATGATTTATGCATATTTAAAAGGATCTTTCTTTAATTCGTTAATAATAGAAAACTAATATAACGGTATACAAAATATATGTTTGAAAGAAACTGTCTCAATTAATGATTGTGTAATGCATGGTAATTTTTTGTTGTGTACATGCTTGTCCTCCTTTTCTGCGTATGTTTGTTAAAGAGAGCGAGTGATAGTCTACATGTGCTTCTCGGTGTGCCTGTTACACTTGATAACTGTTCCGTTTCACTGTGTGTGTGGTGTTTCAGATGTGATAAACACAACATTTCTTTCAAGACTTTAAACGAATCGAGGACTGTTGCTTTCAGAGGACTGGGAATGGATTGCATCAGTGTATGACTGACCATATGTTTTGTTGCACAATAAATGTAGTGACCACAAATCTAAGGAACTTACCCTGTTTTATTATACAGACGCGTTTGGATATTCACTTATTGCTTAACTTTTATGACGATGGTCGGTTTTTTTTTCTTTTGTGTTTTTTTTCCTTTATTTTACTACAAGCTTGAATTAGTAGGAAAATATATTAGAATTAGATATCATGATGAACTTTGAAGGGATTGTTAGCAGGGTTTACTAATAGGAACTTTGCTTTACCATTGAATGGCTGGTGGGATTGTGTAACACTAGAAAGATCCGCTTTCTAGACATGATGGACGATTTTCATTCAGGTTTATTTTTAATGGAAGTCATTTCATAAACACATACACGCACAATGAACGTCACTGGTGTTTTCCTGACCAGGAGCCATTGCTATATAATTCATGTTTGACTGTGATATCCAAACTGAATTATGAAGCAATGACATGAACCACCAGCGTTACAACAACTGCCAAATCTGAAAAAGGCAAATTGATGTATTTGAGTTGCTATTTGAAGTGTTCAAATGTTACTCGGTTGTTCACTCAGCTAGCTTGAAACAGCTAGAAAGTATAGAGTATATATAGTGAGTACACTGAAGCAACCTGACCACAGCTTCCCTTATGATTGTAAATGTGTAAATTCCCACGAAAGCTAAGAGCTCTCTGGACCCTATTTCTTTTGTGACTCCAAGGCCATTTTGTCCACAACGATAGGCTATTTGAAAAGCCTCTAGTCCTGGTTATGTTACTCCTAGATTCTTTAAATAAAAATTAATCTAAAATAATTGTAACCGAAATTGAAAATGTTTAGTTATTTAAAGTCAGTGACTTGGGAAGATTACTTTGGAAATGTAATAGGTTACAGATTACAAGTTACCCTATTTAAAATGTAATAGCCTAAGTAGTGTAACTATTTTAATAACCTTATGAAAGTAATGTAACTAATTACATTTGATTACTTTTCTATATCTCAACACTGATTACTATCAGACTTGTAAAAATCCTTCATCACTTGAATTAAGATGATAAAAATGCCATTTTAAAGCACAGCCGCCACACAATCAGACTTTAGCACATCTTTTTATTCGTTAAATTGAGGTTAAATAAAGATTTAAAATCATAAGATATAGCCTAGTAGTTTAATAGCTATAGGCACTATTCTTGAAATCTTTGCATAGCTATGACAGGAAACAGTTAATCTTAAAAAATAAACATAGCCTACATAAATCCAAATAAGAAATAAAACAGTTGTCGAATAAGCATGTGTCCTAAACTCCTGAACACTGGTGTCTCATATTTTAGAGCAGTCAATGCAATTTGGGAAAGAAATCAATCAAATCTGTATGTGTGTAAAAATATTCAGATGTAACCCCTTTTGTAATCGTAAATTTTTTTACAAGTAGCCTAACTGTAATTTAATTACACTTTTTTTTCTCAGTAACTGTAACAGATTACAGTAACATTTATTTTGTAGTTGAATTACGTAATTCCTTTACATGGAACTAGTTACTCCCCCACACTGTTTAAAGTTAAATGAATGTAAAGAAAAGCAAGGCTGACGGACGGTGTTCTGAGACTGAGAACTACACACTGTGCTGCTTCCGCCCTGCGTATGGACAGTTTGTGCCGCTTCCGCTCTGCAAATACGTGTAGTGTAAAACATATAGCATAATATATATAGCATACATATCTATGGTGTGAAACGGGTGTGACCCTCATCATAACATCTTCGCTCTTCATCTGCACAAAACATGTCCTACTTCATCATAACCAAACCGCAGCTTTTGTTTATACAAATAACCCATCACCTCATCACATCCCAAGTTGTTTTATCACGTCTATTTATTTGTTTGTCATTCTGTAGCTACGCTGCATTCAGTCAAAAACATTATTCTGGATTTTAAAACTGCTAACAAAGCATCCCAGCGTTTGATCACGGTTTTATAATAAATTATTCATTTGAACTAATCTTCGTTAGTTCATTTATTTGTTAGAATGATTATTTACAACCCATCTAGAAAAGCCACCAGACTAGCTAACGTTACTAAACGAAAACTGGCTTTAAAATTCACTCGCTTTACTTGAGCCGTTAAAATCAATGAAAGGACAAGTCTGTGCTTGTCCCACCGATTATTTATAGTTGCGTTCATATGATTCCGATTATGGAAGCTAAACTTGAGCCAGAAACCAAAATATTCATGTAAATCTCCTGAAGTTCAGCACAGCCTCCTCCTCCTCCTCCTCCTCACAGACAGTCCAGTAAACGCGATGCTTTCGCATTACGTGTGAGGGGACTTTCAGGAGGCGAGGAGACGTTTAAATGTGCGTGCACTTGCTGATTGTTTTGCACTTTCTGACACGAGAACTGTACTGTGGGGACTTGTCTCTTAAAAAAAAAAATCATACCGCTGTTTCCGCTTTCTTTTGGCGGTGGATCTACAGCGCATCACCAGCAAACTCTTAACAGCGACAGGTGTGTATTTATAAACGAATTAAAAATATATAATCTGTATAATCTTACGCATGATTACAAGATTTGATGCTGGACTGAATGACTTTGTATAATGTAAGTAATATGTAATCGAATTTAACAGTGCCCATGTTCATGTAAAGCAAGTGGCTAAGGTCTGGAAATGAATGCTGCTCTTTTGTGACTGTATGTTGTATGAACATAATCTAGTATGTTTGAAGAACAACATCCATTTTGCCCATTGCTTGTGCTCCATCTTTGTAAATAAATGATGTGAAAATAGAAATGAAGGATTTTGAGCAGGGGTCTTCAACCTTTTTCATGTCAAGAATGGACTCTATGGAGGTAGAGAGATGGAGCAGGGACCGCTTAGTTGTATTAAACTGAGTGTTGTATGTAAATCTAATTTACATTAACATGCATATTCAAAGTACTTTCTAACTAGAATAATATGCTACTTTTGGGGTAAGTGTAGCATGATTTATAACTTTTAAAGGGATAGTTCAAGTTCTGTCATCATTTACTCACTTTCATTTTGTTCCAATGACCTTTTCTTTCCAAAAAATTTTTTTTAAATGTGTTGGTCTTTCTTTCCATGCAATTGCAATGAATGAAGACTGAATATGTCAAGCTTCAAAAAGATGCAAAAGCACCATTGTGCAAAATATCTTCTTTTATGTTCGGTAGAACAAATAAGGTCAAACAGGTTTGGAACAACATGAGGTTAGTAAATAATGACATAATTTTACTTCTAGGTGAAACATCATTATTCTAGAGAGTTTAACATCATTATTCATAACTCTGTAATGCTGTTTAATAAACACAACTGTCACTATAGACTCACTGGCCCATTGTCAGGGGAGTTTCACTGACTGGAAGCTCCTAAATTAAAATTACCCTCATTTTCCCCCAGTTTAAGCCCCTTAGAGCAGTAGACCAAAGCTTTTATGCTGTCTTATTCTGTTAGCATGATGAACCATATCTGTAACACCTACAAGCCACCATCTGCAGTGCAGATATGCAGTTAAAATACTATTTTCAGCCCTTCTCAGCAGTCCATGACATCTTAATTCATTGTGAGATTTGATTTATTTCACCTTTCGCTAATCTCACTTAATCCATGCAGTTCATATTCATCTGTTCTATCTTCTGTTATTTGTTCCTGTTTTTGGTATTACTTCATGAATTTGGCATGAGGAGAGAACTTCTCACTAACCACTGTGTACACATTTTGGTGTATTTTTTGGGGTGTTTATTATGTTTGGTATCTGCTGTGGAATGGCTGTTTGCATATGTTATGATATTTCTGTGGTTTCACAACTAATAAAGGATTATGTAATCTAAATTAATGTATGTTTGGGAATTAACAGCAATTCAGTTACTGCTTTTATACAGTTTGCATCCATCATTAGGAACCATGCTTGAGAAAAGTCAGTGAAAGTGTTCTCTTTTTCCACTATGGTTTAATGCTGTCTGTTTATGTGTTTATGCAGAGGATGTTTGAAAAAGCGACAAAGAAGCTGGTCCAACAGATAGATCCGAAGGGTGCTCTGATTGCGGCTTCCAGCCTAAATAATTCCAAAAAACTAAAGCCTCTTGCGGTGGTGCAGAAAATCCAGAAAGGCTGGTTCTGGCAGCAAACTAAATACAAACCCACAGAATTCAAACTCAATGACCTGCTGGAAGGGGATCCAATTAAACCAGGTAAAGTGCATAGTGAATAAGTACGTTTGATGTTTATTTACTTTTCTGCTTAGCAATACTGAGATTGAATTATAGTAGAAAGTACATTGAAAGATAAAATTAAATCTCAGTATGTTCTTAGTAGAAACAGGTGTTTTTTCAAAATATGTCTTGCGTCTGGCCTTTTTGAAATTAATATCTCTCTATGTTTTGACCAGTGTGTGAGGAGGAAGAGTTTGTAAAGTTTGAGGGAGAGTACAAAAACTCTGCAGCTGGAACTGTAGAGGTGGGATGTTCTGCTGTCTGCCTAAATGCGAATGGACAGGGCAAATCAAAACTTTGTTTATCCCTCGGGACACTTAAGAAGGAAGCTGTGGATATTCCCAAACTTGTGAAGCTCACAAGAGGAAGGTTAGAGAAAAACAATTTAAATGATGTCAACCCACTAAAATTAGCAATATTAACAAATTAAGGAGAAAATATATATTTTTTTTTTTTTTTTTGTCGTAATTTGGAAAATCAGTTAAGGTCCTAAAGTTGAACCTTGCTGTATCTCTTGACAAGACAGTTCATTCAAAAATGATTATTGTTATTATTTTAATTTTTTTAAATTTTAAGTTTTTCACTCTCATGTAATGCAAAATCTGTAACGGAGATATTTTTTAAAATGTTTAAACTGTCCAAAACAGTACTGGATTTTCATTCAGACATTTGTAAAGCAATATTAACAAATTAAGGAGAAAATATATATATATATATTTTTTTTTGTCGTAATTTGGAAAATCAGTTAAGGTCCTAAAGTTGAACCTTGCTGTATCTCTTGACAAGACAGTTCATTCAAAAATGATTATTGTTATTATTTTAATTTTTTTAAATTTTAAGTTTTTCACTCTCATGTAATGCAAAATCTGTAACGGAGATATTTTTTAAAATGTTTAAACTGTCCAAAACAGTACTGGATTTTCATTCAGACATTTGTAAAGTCATACAGGTTTGGAGTGACATGCGGATGAGTATATGATGACAAAAGTTACATTTTGATGCAAAGAAGAAAACAATCTGATGTGGTTTAATATTCATTCCTCTGCTCTTGACCTTGATGACCCCTGTAGGAAGCTGGACCTCACAGGCTCTTTTTTCAAGAAGCTCCCCCAAAAAAACAAGACTTTAACCCTCCTTAAAGAGCGAATTTTAACCACCAGTGACTGCTTTATCTCCTACATCGAACTGGAGAAGGCCGGCTGCCGTGCTGCGATTGGTTGTACTGAGGTTTGTAAGAAGTGTGTTCAGGGATTGAAAGCTAATGAACAGGAATTTAACTTCATTAATAAATGTCATTATCATATCATATATCATCATATCATATCATGTCATTAATAAATCTGCTTTTTTGACTCAGTGTTGTTAAAATACTGAAACTTAATACTTAATTGAAAAGCACTAAAATGACTAAAACTGAAATAAAAACAAATTAAAGCTATACAGGAAAAAACTGCATTAAATAAAAATAAATAGCACAGCAAAACTACTAAAACTAAAATTAAAAATAAAAGCTGAAAAAAAAAATGCTAATTCAAAATATGAATAAATACTAATTGTATATAAATAATACAAAAAAAGAGACACACACAGAACTGTTTCCTTGGCGTTTCAGATGCACATGAAAGACAGTGGTAAATTTCAATATGGCTCTAAGACTGCATTTCACATCCCACCGAAGACTGTGATGGCTTACAGTGTCATTGAAATGACCATCGAAAGTGACGGCTACTTTGGTCAGTGACATTAACTGAATATGGCTGAACAACATTACAGTACCTTTTGATTATTTATAACATGTATCAACAAATATTACATTCATCACTATTATTTTTTCATGTATTTTAAATAATTTTATTTTAATCATAAAAACAGTTTGACAAATGGGCTGTATATGTATTTGGCCTTTCCATGTCTGAGTTTTGATTTTTGTGTGAGTTTAGATTTGTGCGTTGGACCCAGTGGGGTGGAATCAGATGATATTTCCCAGAATCCCTTTCCCACTTTCTCAGAGGTGGACGGTCAATGGCCACTTATCCAGAAAGGTTTCCCACTTACTACTCTAAAAAAAGGTGTGTGTTTCAGTTCCTTTGTGTTCTGCTTAAGTAGCTGTGCAGAAGCAGAAGTAGGATTTATTTCTCTTTCCCTTTTTTCAGTTCCTAGTTCTTAGGATATTGCCATTCTAATAATGAGACCCTTTAATGAGAGTCGTTTCAAGATGTAAATTTGTGGTCTCTTTGCAGCTCTTGCAGTTGTTCAGGCTAGATTTTGTGCACTGGCTGACTTGTCTGCTGAAAGCCGTTCCTCCGTCCTGCTCCTGTTGAGGAAAATTCTGACGGACCGATCTGTCTTGTCAGCTTTGGTGGATAGAGTGAGTGATAATGCTTGCTAAATCACGTACAAAAATTGCAGAAGGATATTGTGAAATTGCATAAATGGGTGATTCCTTCTTTATTTTCTGTCCTCTAGGATGGTTTCAAAAATTATTTTACGAAAGATTTGACCTTTTTCCTAATTTTTAAGAGAGTTAAAAGGATTCATTTCCCATAATTTCTCTATTTTGTGCTTATACCCACACAGATTTATTTCTCCTCTATATTAAATTAGTAAAAAGTGTTAAGTTTGAACATCATTAAAAATGAAACAACTTTAATTTTTCAAGATTTCAAAGTCAGGGGTCCCATAACGAAACAATTACACAAATATGAAACAGTTTGTTCCTCTTTATGTCACTTATGTTTCTTTTTCTCTGATCTCATTGTGTTTTTTATCTTTTAGCTTGAGGTGTTAAGCAGCGGTGAAGCTCCCTGCTTCTTAACCAGCGAGTTGTCTGAAGAACAGAGTCAGAACATCAGTGCATTTTTAGACTTACTGAAGTGTGACCAACTAGACAAGACGTCATCAACGTCATTGTCAAGTTATAATGGATGTCAGATATCAACAACCAATCACAGCGATCCTTCCTTGGCATCTGAGTTAAATGGATCAAGCTCCACACCAGAAGAACGGAATGGATGTCACACAGCCGTATCCCATGAGAATGGATGCTCAACAAAAGCAAGCAGGAAGAACATGGAGCTCATGTATGCCATGCAAATGCTGATGAACGCTCTTGATGGTTAGTACTGTACCTAAGCTCAGAGGTTTCTTATGCATAAAGGCTATCTATATTCACTCATAAACTTAATTGTTCGATTCAGAGCTGATGGACGCTGGACTGGACCTGCTAGAGCCGTTCTGCACTTCTGAAGGTCTCCAAAGTCTACAGGATTTAGTGAGTTTGATATTGTTGGAAGCTAGTGCAGATTCTGCATGAATGCTTGAGAAAAATTACATTATTTATTCAGTTGAATTGAATTGAATCCTTTTTGTTTTCTGTAAACCTAGGTAATTCATCTGACTACAAGCGATATGCCTCTCTGCAAGGACACCATCCCTGTTTTCCTCCAAAGTGACAATGACTTCCACAGAGTGGAGGAACTTTTTCAGTCATGCAATGTTTTACTAAGGAAAGAGAATGACATGTTGACCTCAAAAATAACCTGTAGAGAGGGATTCCTCCCTATGGTTCTGTGCATTGCCATCCATGGCCTTGCATCCTTTGTTGCTGCGTGCTGAAATAGGCAGTTAAAGTGTGTTAAAGTCATGTTTTCCAAGTTACTAAGCCATATTAGTTAATGCAGAAATTACTTGCTTTAGTTGTAATGTTCCTATGTGCAGACATTTAATTGCTTCTGAATATTTTTTGCACTAATTTTATCTTTGTTAATTCCGTAATAGTAATCAGTCTAATAGTAATACATCTCAAACGAGGTGCTTTTACTGGTAGATTTTAAATATTTCTGCAAATAAAAGTTGTATTTATACACTACCTTTATTTTCCAGACAATTTTAGTTTTTATTTTCCAAAACTAAAATACACTTTTCTTTTATTACAGTGAAACTGTAGCAAAAACGTAATTTAAAAACCTTTATGAAGACAGTTTATTTTGTTCTCTGAAAGTGATTTCAGTTTTCCATAGATAATTTATAGAGAGCAGTATTAATTTAGTATTTCTTTATTTGCCAAGGATAAAAAGGATTAGGATTCTAGGATGAAAGTTAATCAGATCTTTTTTTTTATTGTAATATGTTTGATAATATAAAATTTTTTGTGTTACTGTATCATTTTGGCATTTCACTTATACAGATGTTTCAAATAATAATGTACTCATCACTGCACTTCAGCTGTAATTTTTTTTTACTTATATGTAGAATATATGACATTATGCAAATACCTTTATTGTTGTGTATCTCTGCACATCAGGAGTGAATGCAGCGATTTTCTCCAAAAGCTTCTGTTTGGTTGCATCATGCACTTTTATTATTATTAAATGAAAAAGAGGAACAAAGAATAACAATGGCCAGTCTGTTTATTGCCTTGTTGTAACGGTCTTGTTGACATAGAGACAAAAATACATTTGGCAGAGAGGTCATGACATTCTGGGACAGAATTTGAAAGACATTCAAGAAAGAAGAAACAACAAGAAAAAGATTGAACTCAACAGGAATATTTGTTCACTTCTTTAACGATAATAAGACACAGACACAACGTGCAGCCCAATGTTGTACAACAGACAAAATCGGTGAATGAAATATTACAAAACACACTGCACACATTGATATGGACTTTTGCATAAAAGAGATTTAATGCATCTCTTCTGGATACGAAGAGAAGCATATAAACAGTTGGGAGATCAGGCTCTATGTAAACAGTTTTCTGGTTCATGGTTTTAGGATCTAGAATGTTCTACAGGAGCCCTTGGCCTGCTACACTCTGTAGTAGTCTTGTACTATAAATCAAAACATCACAGTAGGTTCAGGTACTGCAAAAAAATTAAAAAGGAGAAACACATGTAAAAACAACTACAATAATAAATTAAAAAATGGCCTCTCATTCGCCAAGGCCAGTATCAGTTTTCCTCGTTTTTCTTTTCTTCCAACTCCAAAGATGTCACAAATAGAAAGATATTCTTTAAAAACATACAAATACTAAAATAAATAAGTACTCTTCCCTTTCAGTTTGAGTAGAAAAACCCTGCATTGTGTGCACAATAGTGAGGCTGGGGCTAACGGTGCTTTCGTGGCAGACGATGCTCATTTGGTTGGTCAATCCAAACGCATAACTTCACTGCCCCACATCAATCACCTCGCATACCAATCATACGCACACACACTCAAACACTCTTGTATGGTGATCTTCTAAAGATTCCCTTAGTAAACCCAGCTCACTGGAACCCACTGCGCTTCAATACAGAGTTGGTCCACAGCCGACTGCAGTTTCTCAAACGCACCGTCTAGGTTGTCATTGAAAATGATGAGGTCAAAGTAGTGTCTGTAAGTCCGCAGGATGCGAGCGCTTTCATCCACGGTCTTCTTCAGGTCCACATCCTGTGAGAAAGAGAGAGAGAACAGAATTATTACTTAAATTAAGAGAGAACTTGTGATGTTGACAGATAAACCAGACGTTCAGTGAAGCAAATAATTATTAAGTCAATGTGTAAAACATCCACTATAAATGACAGACTGATTTTTTTTGCCACTTTTTACAAATATTTAATTCCACCCTCTGCTTTTTGCAGAATAATGATTACATTTATAAAGTTTATTTTGTAGACAGATTGAGGGAATTAATTAAGAGTTTAAGACTAAATGGAGGTCTCTGTCAGACTGTTGCTACAGCAGTGGACGGGACTAATGCACAAATATGGCACAAGTATTCACCTGTCACTGTCTGCATTTTGATGTTAGCAAATCACTAGAGCGAATGACAACATTATTAATATTTATGAGCTCACGGACTGACATTAGCACAGAACAGACACTGAGCTGCTGTGAATTGGGTTGTTAAATATATAAAACATTAACAATTTAGTTTAGCGCAATCCTAATCTAGTAAAGAACGCCTGTTTGACTGATTGATGTTTTCTAGTTGTGCTTTCAAACTATCAGTCAAAAGTAATTTAGTAATTAATTAAAATATTATATATTTTTTTTATATATGTTTTAAAATATTAAAATTTAAAATAACAGTTTAATTAATTATATAATATTATATATATATATATATAAATTATTTTTGAGAAAACTGATACTTTTTTTTTCAAGATTCTTTGATGAATAGAAAGTTCAAAAGAAACACTTTTTAAATAGAATGAAAATCTTTGTAACACTAAATGTTTATACTGTCACGTTTGATCATTTTAATGCATACTTGCTTTATAAAAGCATTAAAATATATTTTTTTTAAAAATCTTACTGGCCTCAAACTTTTGAACAACAGTATATATCTCATGTGACATATATTATTTAAAAGCTATTTAAAACTGTGTCTTTATAAAAAAAGAAGCAAGACCGTCAAGCCTATGTTTACATAGAAGTACAAATAAAAAAGCATGCCCTGTACTCAGAATGACATACCGGCAGTTAAAACTGTCATATCTAAAACTACAGCATGGTAGAATATTTCAGAGGAAGAAGAAACTTGTGAGGTGTACCACTAATGACATAAATGCTGAAGTAGGTAGGTAGCACATCTCACCAAGAAGGAAATGTTTGCAGGATGTGCTACCATCATGGGTAGCATATTTTCCAGTGCTGGACTAACAGATAAACTTAAAACGATGCAAATATAGTGTGGGTAGGTCATATTTTCAGGACACCAGCCTTGGAAAAGTTGAACGAGACTCACTGTGAGCTGTTTGGTGGTGAGTCCAGCATCAACCACAGCTTTGTGCATAGCCTTCAGTGTGTCGAACTCTGGCGCTGCGATGAACACGACATATGGCATGAACTCTGCAGTTTTTAACACCTTCAGAGCCTGAAGACAGATGATGTAAATGTGAAAAACAGTTAAAGGGGTCATATGATGCGATTTAAATTTTTCCTTTCTCTTTGGAGTGTTACAAGCACTTGGTGCATAAAGAAGATCTGTAAAGTTGCAAAGACTAAAGTCTCAAATCCAAGGAGATATTCTTTATAAAAGTTAAGAGTCAACCACGCCTACCTAAAATTATTGGTTTATTGCTCCATTTTATGGAGTTAATATACTGTTCCTGATCCTGGGAGAGTAGACTACAATGCCGGCTGTTCTGACTCACAGCCTGTAAGTACGTTTTCATATTTAAAGGATTTGCCACTGACGATTCAAACGCGAGTTTTGAGCAGTGTAGAGTAGCGCTTGTTGTT